GTGCCAACTTCTGGCCTCAGGCATGTACATACATGCACAGACACACACACTGGAATAGCTACATATACCACATATGCACACACAAACATAAGAAAGATAAAAAGACCGACACTGTATCCACATAAACCACCCAACCATCCAAACCTTGGACCACAAGCTGGAAACTCTGTGTGCGGCTCAGGAGGGGGACTGTGGGTGTGGACGCCTCACATGTGTAGGTGCCAGCTGAGTCAAAGGTCACAGAGTCGAGAGAGAGCACGGGGCCATCTGCAAGGGTCACAGAATCCTAGGGAAGGGAGAGGAAGAAAGCCAGGCAGGGCCATGAGAGGATGAGAGACAGGCGGGGGTGGGTGGCGCCCGAGGCCCCACAACTCTCTCTTCCAGTCACCTTGGTCCAGCGCACAGTAGGAGCAGGCAGGCCTCTAGCGGAGCAGTTCACCACCGTGCCACTGCTGTTCAGGAAGACGAATTGCTCCTCAGGCGTGCTCAGCTCCAACGGATCCAGGTCTGCAGTGGGGAAAACATGGTCACATTCCCAAGGCCATTGCTCATGCAACCAGGTCCTCTAGAGGGTTTCCAGGGGCAGACAACGCCATGTTGTTCTATTCCAGTACAATGACATGTCTACCTTCTACCCCGGCCCATCAGCAGATGCCAGAGGAGCCGCTCTAAAGAATGCACTATCTGACCGGCAGAGGCTTTATGGTGCTGAGGATGGAACTCAGGGCCTCCCACCTGCCAGGCAAGCAAATGCACTAGCACTGAGCCACGCCCCCAGCCCCTCACTTGGGGATTCTAGGCAGGGGCTCTACCACTGAGCCACGCCCCCAGCCCCTCACTTGGGGATTCTAGGCAGTTGTTCTGCCTCAGCGCTGTGCCTCCAGCTTTTTGCATGAGCTCAAATTTTTTGTCTCTCTTCTGTGCCAACCCATTCCATCTCCAAAACAGCTTGACTGGCTTGGGCCAGCAAGATGACTCAGTGAATAGACACCATTAAGCCAGACAACCTGACTTCATGCTTCCAGACCCACATGGTGGAAGGAGATAATACTCTGGCGAGTTACGCGCACATATGCACATGCGCACAATGAATTAAAATGTAGCGATAATTGTAACTCATCAGACAACCTGATGGGTCCATGGCTAGGTATAAATACAAGGGGTAGAGCATTTGTTTTGCACAGCTAAGACCCGGTGTTCCATTGTTAGCGTCTCAAAAGACAACAACTAAATTCTGGCTGGTTTGGTGGACCGTGCCTATGATTCCAGCACTTGTGAAACCGAGGCTAGAAGATATGAGTTTCAGGTCAGCTCAGGTTACATAGTAAGACACCGTTAACAGAAAGAAAGATTTTCTTTATATGACCCCACCTTACCCTGTCCTCGCCATCTCTGCACTATTCCTCACTTGTTTTATTTTTTATTTTATTTAAAAAAATGTTTTTTTGAGACAGGTTTTTCTGTGTAGCCTTGGGTGTCCTGAAACTCACTCTGTAGACCAGGCTGGCCTCGAACTCATAAAGATCCACCTGCCTCCACCTCCTGAGTTCTGGGGTTAAAGGCATGTGGCACCATTGCATACTTATCCCTCACTTTTTAAAAGTTGTATCTCTATTGTTTATTGTGTGTGCATGCACGAGTGCCACGGATCGTGTATGAAGGTCAGAGGACACTTGCTGGAGATGCTTCTCTCCCTCCTTCATGCGAGACCCAAGAATCAAACACCGGTCGCTCGGCTTGGCAGCAAGCTCCTTGGCTTACTGAGCCATCTTGCCTGCCCATTTCCTCACTTGTCTCAATCTGTAGTCCTCCACTGAGCAGCCCAAGGGATGTTTTTAAAGAACACTGGTCCATCTTCATCTTTCCACAAAATCCTGTCATGTCTTCCCAGTACTCTTGGCATCATGGCCAAACTGCCACAGCCTACAAGAGCCTGCGCAGTCTATGAACACTGCCTTTCTTCCTCCCTACCTGCTTACTCAGAGACCCTGTGTTTAGGTTTAGTTTTTCTCGAGAACACCAAGTTCACCGCAAGGGCCTTTGCACAGGCTTTCTCTGCCTGCAGCAGAAGCTTCTAGCTCTGTGGATCTCACGTATTCTTCTTCAGTATCATTTCTTATCTGTGTCCCCTCCTCTCAGAGGCTCCCCTGCCCCGTTGCTGTGGACACCCCGATCTCAGGATCTCTTTTCCAACACCGACAACTGATTCCTCCAGCTGCTGCGAGGGGCCAGCAGCTGTCAACCCTCAGCTGTCAGCCCTCTGTGGGAATGCCCTCAACTGTAAGGAGCCTCTCAACCAAGGTCATGCCCTTCCCTGTACAATACACAGACAATCAGGCCCAGCTCCTTCATCATAGCCGGGGATCACTGTGGATTTCGATCCCCCTACTCCCGCCCCAAGGCCTTTTGCAAACTACAGTCAAACTTCGTCTCCTGGTCATCCTTGCTGCTTCCGCATGCAGGGGCTTTCCACAAACATTCTACCTGCAGACCCAAACTGTGACAATTCTGTGTCACCTGACAGCTCTGTCATACCAACGCTACTGCTATAAGACACACTAATGGGACTAAAAGGATGTGGACTAGCACTCGCCTTCTGTCTCTGCTACTGTAGTGGGGCTACATAGTAAGTCCAAGGCCGGCCTTGCTTCAGGAGACTGCCTCAACTAAAACAAAACAACCAAACATAGGCTGGAAGTGCTGGGGGCGTGGCTCAGTGGTAGAGCCCTGCCTAGAATCCCCCAGTGAGGGGGCTGGGGGCGTGGCTCAGTGGTAGAGCCCTGCCTAGAATCCCCCAGTGAGGGGCTGGGGGCGTGGCTCAGTGGTAGAGCCCCTGCCTAGAATCCCCCAGTGAGGGGCTGGGGGCGTGGCTCAGTGGTAGAGCCCCTGCCTAGAATCCCCCAGTGAGGGGCTGGGGGCGTGGCTCAGTGGTAGAGCCCCTGCTTAGAATCCCCCAGTGAGGGGCTGGGGGCGTGGCTCAGTGGTAGAGCCCCGCCTAGAATCCCCCAGTGAGGGGCTGGGGGAGTGGCTTAACAGTAATCCACTTGCCTAGAAGCCAGGGATTCTATATAAAAGAGGCTAGGCATAGCTGTGCAAGTTTAATCTTTGTGCTAAGGAGGCAGAGAGGTAAAAAGATCTCTGAGGCATTTTGGCTGGCCCGCTAGTCTAGGTTAGGTAGAGAGCTCCGGGTCAGTGAAGAGATCCTTCTCAAAAAACAGTGTCAATCCTGAGGAAAGATAGCTAAGGTTGACCTCTATCCTTGGCACAACACATGCACAGAATGTGTGAACATGCACACACACACACACACACACACCAGAGCTTTCTTCCTAGTGAAGTAAACTGCTAAAGCTTTTTAAAAAACAACTCAGGATCAGAAATCAATGGACTTAAAATTGAAGAGTTAGGAAGGAAGAGAGGAGCTTGTTGGAGGTTCAGCCTCCAGGGGGTGGGGTAGGGATGGGAGAGCCAGTTGATGGTAAAGCTGCTTGGGTGAATACAGATGGTTCAAGACGGACCTGATCTGGCCGGGCGGTGGTGGCTCACGCCTTTAATCCAGCACTTGGGAGGCAGAGGCAGGCGGATTTCTGAGTTCGAGGTCAGCCTGGTCTACCGAGTGAGTTCCAGGACAGCCAGGGCTACACAGAGAAACCCTGTCTCGAAAAAACCAAAAAACAAAAAAAAAAGAAAAAAAAAAACGAGGGGGACCCAGAGGGAGAGGGGCGGATGAAGCCTGACCCCACCCTATCCTCCCTCCTCCCAAAGCGCTCACAGGCCACTCGCAGCCTTAGCTTCTTGACAAGTTGTACTTCCTCATCGGCATCGTAGTCCTCCACTCTGCAGCCATAGATACCGCTCTGGCTCCGATGCACCTCCTCCAGGGTCAAGTTTCCCTTGAGGTTAACATTCAGCTGTTCCTCCTGGGTACCCTGAGTGAGAGGATGGGACACCAGATTCAGTAGCTGTTCTCGGGGAGAATTGGGGGTGGAGTCATGGGTCATACTTGGTTAGAATCTGTTCAAGCCAAGGGTCAGGAGGTCATACAAGTTGGGTGTATCCTCCAAACCATTTCAAGTCAAGGTCAGAGGTCCTTTAGCTCAAAGGTCCTCCCCAAGTCAAACACCCCCTACTCTGTCAAAATTACCAGCTGGGGCTGGGGGCGTGGCTCAGTGGTAGAGCCCCTGCCTAGAATCCCCCAGTGAGGGGCTGGGGGCGTGGCTCAGTGGTAGA